AAAAGCTGAAAAATATTGTGTCCACAGGTGAGCAAACAACAAAGAACGCACAGCCCGCCTGCTCAGATATAACCAAATAAAACAAAAAAGCAGGATGAAACAAACAGATCTACCATCAATAAATGAAGAAAATAACTACTGAATGTTCCCGAAGACAGCAGACAATATCAAAACATGTAAAAAAAACAGGACAGGATAGTTCCAGTAGGCATCCAAAATAAAACATCAATGACTTTCCAGTAGAAGAAAAGACACTAGAACTATCTGATAGGGAATTCAAATCTCTAATATTCACAGCTATCTAAGAGTTGAAGCAGAAAGCAGACAAAAATGCGGAAAAAATAGACAAATTCATGGAAAAGGCAGACAAATTCATGGAAAATACAGACAAAAAAATGTAAGAATTCAAGAAAATAATACAGGAACAAAATGACAAAATAAATTCACAACTAGAAATCATACAAAAGTAATAATTAGAAATCCAAAAGATAATAAGATTTCAGAAATGGACAGTGTCATAGAAGAGCTGAGGAACAGGTTTGAAACTATGGAAGACAGGATCAGCGAAACTGAAGACAAACACTTGGATACAACTTTGAGGAAAAATCAGAAAAAAGAACAAAGAAAAATGAAGAAACCCTGAGAATTATGTGGGATACAATCAAAAGCAAAAATCTGCGAGTGATCAGAGTTCCAGAACAGGGGAAGAAAAAGGAAAACACGGACAGGATCGCTGAAGAATTACTGACAGAAAACTTTCCTAATATCAAGAAAGATGAAAAGCTGACCATCCAAGAAGCTCAATGAACCCCATATAGGATAGATCCCAAAAGAAAATCCCCAAGGCATATCATAATCACACTCGCTAAAACCAAAGACAAACAAAGAATCCTGAGAGCAGCTCGAGAAAAACAAAAGGTCACATACAGAGGGGAAACAATAAGCCTAAGCTCTTATTACTCAGCAGAAACCATGCAGGCAAGAAGGCAATGGGATGACATACACAAAACCTTGAAAGAAAAAAATTGCCAGCCAAGAATAATATATCCTACAAAACTCTCATTCAAATATGATGGTTAAATTAGGTCATTTCCAGATAACAGAAATTAAGGGAATATGTAAAAACCAAACTAAACTTACAAGAATTATTAAAGGGAGCCCTTCAGTTTGAGAACAAACAACATAAGACGACAGCCTGAATCTAGGACACGAAATAGCACCAGTCAGATACCAAGGAAATCAACTCTCAAGAACTATTCAAAACCAAAAGATTTACAAGAGGGAACCAGAGAGGTTAATCTGTAAATGACAACAACATCAGAACAATAAAAGATGGGATAAACAGTGTAGGTACAGAACTTTCTAATGGAGAGGAAGGCAAGGTGATACCAAGTAGTAATAGACTGGTTCAAACTTAGGAAGACGTCATGGATTGAATTATGTCCCCCCAAAAATGTGTGTATCAATTTGGCTGGGCCATGATTCCCAGTACTGAGTGGTTGTCCTCCATTCTGTGATTGTAATTTTATGTTAAAGAGGATTAGGGTGGGACTGTATAACACCCTTACTAAGGTCACATCCCTGATCCAATGTAAAGGGAGTTTCACCAGGGTGTGGCCTGTACCATCCTTTATCTTACAAGAAATAGAAGGAAAGGGAAGCAAGCAGAGAGTTGGGGACCTCATACCACCAAGACAGCAGTGCCGGAAGCAGAGTGCATCCTTTGGACCTGAGGTTCCTGCGCTCCCAGACCAAGGGAAGACTGATGACAAGGACTTTCCTCCAGAGCTGACAGAGAGAGAAAGCCTTCTCCTGGAGCTGACACCCTGAATTTGGACTTGTAACCTACTGGACTGTGAGAAAATAAATTTCTCTTTGTTAAAGCCATCCACTTGTGGCATTTCTGTTATAGCAGCACTAGATGACTAAGACAGAAGATAAGGGTAAATTTCAAGGTAACCACAAAGAAAGCTAATAAACCTACTCATCAAAATAAAGAAGAAAAACATAAAGTCTCACTAAAAACAAAATCTACAAAAACAAAAGAATGAAAAAAAATCCACAAACAAAAGGAATTTGGCACAGGAGAGTAAGAGGAACAAAGAAATCATCAGCAGCACAAAGAAAAGCACTACAAAATGACAACAATAAACTCACACCTATTAATAATTACACTGAATGTAAATGGCCTAAATGCACCCATAAAGAGACAGAGAGTGACAGAATGGATAAAAAAAAACAGGGTCCATCAATATGCTGTCTACAAGAGGCACACCTTAGAAACAAAGACATAAACAAAGACATAGCCTAGAGAAATAAGAGCCGTCACATGAATAGACATATGTACACCCATTTTCAATGCAGCATTGTTCACAATAGCAAAAAGATGGAAACAACCTAGATGCCTATGAACAGATAAATGGATAAACAAACTATAGTACATACACACAATGGAATACTATGAAATGATAAAGAACAATGATGAATCTGCAAAGCATCTCACATCATGGCTGAATCTGGAGGGCAGTATGCTGAGCGAAATAAGTCAATCACAAAAGGACAAATACTGTATGAGACCACTACTATAAAAACTGATGAAAAGGTTTACACACAAAAAGAAACAATCTTTGATGGTTACAAGTGAGGGGAGGGATGGGTGTGGAAAAACACTAAATAGACAATAGATAAGTGGTAACTTTGGTGAAGGGTAAGACAGTACACAATACTGGGGAAGCCAGTACTACTTGTTCAGGGTAAGGTCATGGAAGCTCCATGGACAAATCCAAACTCCCTCAGGGACCAAATTACTGGGCTGAGAGCTGTGGGGACCATGGTCTCAGGGAACATCTAGCTCAACTGACATAACATAGTTTATAAAGAAAATGTTCTACATTCTATTTTGGTGAGTAGTGTCTGGGGTCTTAAAAGCCTGTGAGCGGCCGTCTAGATACTCCACTGGTCTCACCCCTTCAGAAGCAAGGGAAAATGAAGAAAACTAAAGACACAAGGGAAAGATTAGTCCAAAGGACTAATAGGCCACAACTACTACGGCCTCCACCAGACTGAGTCCAGCACAACTAGATGGTGCATGGCTACCACCACTGACTGCTCTGACAGGGATCATGACAGAGGGTCCCAGACAGAGCTGGAGAAAAATGTACAACAAATCTAACTCAAAAAAAAGACCAGACTTACTGGCCTGACAGAGACTGGAGAAACCCCAAGAACACAGCCCCTGGACACTCTTTTAGCCCAGTAATGAAGTTACTCTGGAGGTTCACCTTTTAGCCGAAGATTAGACAGACTCATAGGACAAAACAAGATTAAAGGGGCACCCGAGTCCAGGTGCAAGGACTAAAAGGCAGGAGGCGACAGGAAAGCTGGTAATAGGGAACCCAAGGTTGAGATGGGAGAGTACTGACATGTCATGGGGTTATGTTAACCAGTGTCATAAAACGATACATGTACTAACTGTTTAATGAGAAGCTAGTTTGTTCTCAAAACCTTCATTTAAAGTTAAATTAAAAAAAATAGAGGGGGGGAAAAGCTAATGCCAATGAGTGTAGGCAAACAGGCAGTGCAAACTGGTCTGCCCTCTGGAAAGCAGGCCATGCTGGAAGAGAGAGAGAAAATCCTATTGTTTGACCCAGGAATCGTGCTCCTGGATTGTGCACCAAGGGCAAAAAATCCAAAATAAGAAAAGAACTCCTGGTTTTTAGCTAGAAGATATTTGTGGCAACTTGAAAAGTTTCAGTCAACATGCTCTATAGGTCCTGGGGTGAATGCTTTTATTCTGACGGAAGGAATTATGTCTACACAATGGGTGAAGATAGTGTATTAAAGCGTAAGGACAGAAAAGGAAGCAAGAGGAAAATACGACCCCTTCACCAAGCATCCTAGGATATGTCAACCTCCTTTATGAGGGAGATTCTTTAACCCCTCTAAAAGCCCCTCAATCCCACTTGGTGTCTTTGCTCCAGAATTGTTTTCCTGACTAAGAACTTCAGAAGCTTCTCCAGATACCTCCAGCCTGGCCCTCCCCTATGACCTCCAGACTTGTGTGTCTGTCTCTTTGCCACCTCCATGGAGAGAGCCAGTGGGTATGTCAAACCCAGCATGTCCAGCTGAACTCCTGCTGTCCCCCCAAAATCTTCTCCTCATAGTTTTCTCCATTTCAGTTAATGGCAACTCCAACTCTGGAGTCACCCCTGACTCCTCTTGATCTCACGCCCACACCCAATCCACCCACAAACACCGTTGGCTCTGCCTTCAAAATATTTATAAAATCTCACCCCTTCTCACCACCTCTGTTGCCACTCCCTGGTCAAGCCACCATCATTCACTGCCTGGATTTGTACTACAACCCCTAGATAAATCTATTCTCCAAGCAGCAGCTAAAGTGACCCGGTTAAAGTATAAACCAGACCGTGACCCTTGTTTGCTCAAAACCCTCCAATGGCTCCCATCTCACTCAGAGTAAAAGTCCTCAGCATGGCCCAAAGGCCCACGCAATCTGCCAGGATCCTTCTGTCCCCCTCTGACCTCAGCGCCTCCCACTCTCCTCCTCAATCACTCAGCTCCAGCCATTCTCACCTCCTTGCTGTTTCTTAAAAACCAGCACACTCCTACCCCAGGGCCTTTGCACTTGCTGATCCCTCCACTGGAACATTCTTCCCCAAACTAGCCACATAACTCATTCCCTCGCCTCCATAGGTCTCTACTCCACCTCTTCACAGAACCCTTCCCCAGGTACCATATACAAAATGGCAAAACCTACCACCCTTGTGTGGACATCCCCTATCCCTCTGCACTTAACATCCTGAAAAAAGCACATATTTATACATTTGTTTTGTACTATGTATCTCACCCAACTCCACACAGGCAGTGACTTGGTCTGTCCTGTCCACTGCTGTACCTCCAGTGCCTAGTACCGCACCTGGCACATAGTAGTTGCCCAAAAAAGACTTGCTGAATGAATGAACAAACAAATAAATGAATACCTGGCGACTGGCAGGAGGCGGGGCCTGCTGAACGGCTGTGGGTGCTGCTGAAGGGGTGTAGATGCTGTTGGTGGCCAGCGAGACCGTGGCCAAGGGCGGGGCATTCCCCTGACACTGTTCCCGCTTATGGGTCATAAATGCCGGCAGCGAGTTGAACTGCTTCTTACACTTCCCGCAGAGAAAGACATCTTCATCATCTAGGGGTCACACCACAGGGTAGCGGGAAGGGGCCGCAGAGGGAGAGGGAATAATGAAAACAAAAAGCAAGAAGAAGTTAGGGGGCATCGAAGTGAGAAATGAGAGGAGCCATGAGGCTAGGCCACGAGAAAGACAAATCTGAATGACATCCAGTGACTCAACATGCATGTGTCAAGTGTCAACTTTGTGCTTCCTAGGAGCTTTCAAAACAACACAGGTACCTGCAAGAATATCCAGCCAGGTGCACCTATGTTTCAAATGATTAGAAATCAGGAGATAGTAAAGTGGGTTCACTTCAAAGTTGAGAAATTCAAAATCTTTATCCTGCCGGGAATTATTCATCAGCTCTTAGATGGGCCATGTGATCACACTCCTTTGTGTCTTTGCACTCACTGTTCCCCCTGCCAAGGTGCCTCTCTTAATACAATTCATTTTGCGTGGCAGGGCTCAGAGGTCACCTCCTCCAGGAAGTCTCCTCAAAGCCAGTGGTCACAGTTCCTTGCTCTGGGCCCGCCTCCAATATCACAGTTTTCTCATCACCACCAGACTGTGAGTCCCCTAAGGGAAGGAAATATATATTATTTCTTTGCGTAACTACAATATCTCTTGGGTACACAGGGAGTCCTCAGTGGATGTTTGCTGAATGAATGATTAGCTACAGTTAATACCACACATTGTTGAGGGCCTACTGTGGGCCATGCACTATGTCAAGCACTTGACATGCTGTTCCTCAATATCTACTCTCCCCTTCTTATATGTTGTTGCTAGGTGCCGTCAAGTCAATTTTCAACTCATAGTGACCCCATGTGACAGAGGAGAACTGCCCCTTAGGGTTTTCTACGCTGTAATCTTTATGGGGGCAGATCACCAGGACTTTTTCCCACGGAGCTACTGGGTAGGCTTGAACCACCAACTTTCAGTTAGCAGCCAAACACTTAACCATTGCACCACCAAGACTCCTTCCCTTCTTATATACCCATCCACTGCCACTGAGTGTATTCTGACTCATAGCAACCCTATAAGACAGAGTAACACTGCCCCCATAGGGTTTCCAAGGCTATAAATCTTTACGGAAGCAGACTGCCACATCTTTCTCCCATGGAGCAACTGGTGGGTTCGAACCGCTCACCTCTCTGGTTAGCAGTCGAGTGCTTAACAACGGCGCCATCAGGGGTCCTTCTTCCTATATAGTACTACAAATTTTAGTGGGAAACATAGCTGTCTAGCTAAAGATTACATTTCCCAGCCTTCTGAGTTCTAACCAATGGGACGAGAGAAGTATACTGTATATGCAACTTCCCCTTAAAAGGAAGGGGCATGACTTCCACTTCTTTCTTCCTCCCCTTCACGTTGTTGGCTAGAATGAGGAAATCAAAAGTGGGAGCTGGAGCAACCATCCTGCACTGCATGTTGAAGGCAGCAGAGGCACAAGAAAGAAAGGGTCTGGCTCTCACCACACCTACTCTAGATGCACATCACGACTTTCACGTGACAGAGAATTAAACTTCAGTCTTGTATAAACCACTATTCTGTGTTTCTCAACTACAAGAGCTGAAACCAAATCCTAAATACTCTCACGAGAACCCTAGAAGGCAGATACTATTATCCTCATTTTATAGATGTGGAATCTCAGGCACAGAGAAGTTAACTCACTTACCCAAGGTCCAGGAACTATGGGAACAAGGATTCAAAGCCAGGTATATATCTCTCTGTCCCCAGCATGGCTCCCAGGAAGCCCTCAAAAATGTTTGTGGAATGAATAAATGCCCACATGGACTCACATGGGGCTCCAAAAGAAGTCCCCGGCCCTCTCCGCGTCTCAGGCATCCAGTCTGTAAACTGGAGAGATTCGTGCCCAGCCCGTTCCTTCCACAAAGGAGAAGCTGAGAAATGACTTCCAGATCAAAGGTACAAGCATTGCCAGGCACTGGGGGCTCCTAGTCATTGTCCGTGTCATGATCCCATCTTCCTACATTCACTAAATGATCCAGAGAGAATGTCCTCAGAGCTAAGCAGAGAAAGGATGGCATGAGCCTCAAGATCCAGACTGGGAGGAAGAGGAAAAGGGTCAGAGATCAGAGGCCATCCTAAGTACCAGAGTGGGCAGTTCACTCCTACGCCCCTGCCATGAGCCCCATTTATTCCTCATGGGGAAACTCGTCCCTCCCGCTGCTGAACCTGAACAGGTACTCACCGTCTTTTTTTTTTTTTTTTTTGGTACTTTAGATGAAGGTTTACAGAACTAGTTTCTTATTAAACAGTTAGTACACATATCGTTCTATGATATCAGTTAACAACCCCATGACATGTCAACACTCTCCCTTCTCGACCTTGGTTTCCCTATTATCAGCTTTCCTGTCGCCTCCTGCCTTCTAGTCCTTGCCTTGGGCTGGTGTGCCCCTTTAGTCTCGTTTTGTTTTATGGGCCTATCCAATCTTTAGCTGAAAGGTTAACCTCAGGAGTGACTTCATTACTGAGCTAAAGGGGTGTCCGGGGGCCTTACTCTCAGGCTTTCTCCAGTCTCTGTCAGTCCAGTAAGTCTGGTCTTTTTTTGTAAGTTAGAATTTTGTTATACATTTTTCTCCAGCTCTGTCTGGGACCCTCTATTGTGATCCCTGTCAGAGCAGTCAGTGGTAGCCAGGCACCATCTAGCTGTACTGGACTTAGACTGGAGGAGGCCGTGGTAGCTGTGGTCCACTCGTCCTTTGGACTAATCTTTCCCTTGTGTCTTTAGTTGTCTTCATTCTCCTTTGCTCACGAAGGGATGAGACCAGTGGAGTAGCAGATTCTCACTGTCTTAGTTATCCAGTGCTGCTATAACAGAAATACCACAAGTGGGTGGCTTTAACAAACAGAAATTTATATTCTCACAATTTAGGAGGCTAGAAGTTTGAATTCAGGACGCCGGCTCTAAGGGAAGGTCCTTGTCTCTTTTCAGCTTCTGTTTCTTGGTTCCTTGGAGAGCTCATGCGGCATGGCATGGCATCTACTTCCCTCAACTTGCTTTTTTTTTGGTTGCTTGCTCACTCTGCTCTTTTTATATCTCAGAAGAGACTGACTTAAAACATACCCTACACTAATATTGCCTCATTAACATAACAAAGAAAACCCATTCCCAAATGGGATTATGAACACAGCTATAGGGATTAAGATTTATAACACATATTTTGGGAGGGACACAATTCAATCCATAACACTCACCTAACGGCTGGATGGCAGGAGGTGCATTGACATTCTGGCCTGTGGGATCAGGAACTGCTCCCTGGCCATCCAACAATGACTGGACAGCCAGGACGGTCTGATTGTCCATCCCTGAAAAAAGAAATGCAGTCTCGTTGGAAGGCAGGCCAGTAACCTGCTCAGACTTCACCCTTACAAGCCAGTCCCACCACAAGGCTCCCATGGGAAAGATGGCTGGCTGTGCCCAATATACAGTCTCTCCTATTTCCATTATAATAGAACCCAAGATTTTTGGCTGGAAACATGGTCCCAGAATAAAGATGACACTTTATTGCAGCTAGGGTGACTAAGTTCTGGCCAATGGCATGTTGGTAGAGGTATTATATGGCAGCTTCTGGGAAGCTGTCTTAAAAGCTGCATGGTATGCGACTTTCTTCTTTGTCCTAACCTCCAACCTGCTTCCTGGAACTAGAATATGATGGCAGGAATTTGAGCCACCATCCTGGACCATGAGGACCAGGACAACCTCATAGAGATTGCAGAGTACAAAGCTGGAAAGATCCTGGGCCTCTGAGAACTCTGTAGAACAGAATCATCCTCAGAGCCCTGGACTACCTTCCTCTGGACTTTCATGACAGAATTAACTTCTGGTCTGCTTAAGCCACTGCTACTTTGGGCTTCTCTCTTACTCATGGCTGTATCTAACTGTAAGAGATACAGCCCCTCCCGAAATCATGTTACCAAGTCTCTTTCATCCATACCCACAAATCCCACAAGTCTGTTTATACCAGGCATCCTTGCTTTCCTTGTTTTCCAAGGTTTTCTTCTTGTCTTTTCTGTTCCTCAATAAATAGCATAATCTGAATTTGTTGTTGATGGACTCTTGAGAAGTTGACTTCTTCCATGTTTTCCTAGCATTTGTCACTGTCAAGGGTCACAGCAATACACTGTCCAACAATATCACAGGCCTTCTCACATCTAAGTTGCCTCCCTCCCAAATAACCCGGAGTATGCCTCCCTCTCCCTCTCCCACAGCCGATACTCTGTCTCCCACCTCACCAGCTCTTACCTACATGCCTCCTCCAGCTTCCTAACTGGAAGGCTCCTTAGCCTCCTGCCACCAGAAACCACTCTCCACAAACCCGGCCCTCTCCCCACACTATGCCTGCGACCTCTCCTTCCCATCAATAGCTACACGTGCTCAGGTCTCTCCAGAATGCCCTCCCTCAAACCAATGTTCCCATCTCTCTTCCCTTCAACATCAAGCATCCCATGAAGGTCATCTATACCCTCCATCTCCTCTGCTCCCCTCCCAATCCTCCTCTACCCACTCCAGTGGGACTTAGGTCCCACATCATTCCACCAAAGCCACTTTCTCCACATCACCAAAGACCTTCAGGCAGCATCTGACACTCCTTCATGGAACGGTCCCGTCTCTGTCTCCAGAGTGCCACCCTCCCTGGGTCTTCTCCATCTTTCTGGTCATTCCTTATTAGCCTCCTTCACTCTCTTGTCCACATCCTAAATATTTCTATTTCTAGGGGCTCCTCTGTCTGGACTCTCTCTCTTTTCCCTCTTATTTTTCTCCCTGGGCAGGCTCCCTCACTCCCAGTCTAGTTCCCTTCAATATCCAGAGTCCCTAACCTGGGGTTTATGCTCCCCTGAAGGAGTCTCCATATATCTTCTACCATTTTACACAAAATTGTATGTGAGCATTTTTCAGGGGAGTAGTAACTTTCCTCAGACTTAAAAAGGCTGCTGGAATCAGTGACATTGCAATGGACAACAAAAAAAGGCCACAAGTTCCTCCCTTCCCAGTGCATTCGCCCCTTTGCAATGTGATTTTGCCACTCTTCTTCTCAAGAAGTATAGTCTATCTCTACACTCCTTGAAACTGAGCCTGGCCATGGGACTTGCTTTGATCAACATACATTAGCAAACACGACAATGCCTGCGCATTGGGGTTGGCTGCTTTTGGAAGCCAGCTACCACGTGAAGGAGGCTGGGCTAGCCTGCTAATGCTACAGACACATAGCCCAGTTGCCCCTATTGCTCCAGATAACTACACAATAGGTGAATGAGGTCATCTGGGACCAATCAGGCCCCAGCTGGCCCATCAGCTGATGTATCTACATGAGTAAGTCAGATGAGACCAGCAGAAGAACTGCCAAGTTGAGCCCAGCCCAAGTTGCAGACATACTGACTCATGACCTAGTAAATGATTGTTGTTTTAAGCCACTATGTTTTGAGATGATGCATTACACAGCAGTAGAAAACTGACAGACAACTGTAAATCTCTATTTCCAATCCCCATCCTTCCACTCCAAACATCAAACTGCTTGGTGCCATCTCCACTAAGGAAGGCCTCCGGGACCTCAAAATGCACCTACCTGTTTAGAGGGTGAAAAGACAAGCTACAGACTGGGAGAAAATAGTTGCAAAGCACTTATCTGACAAAGGACTAGTATCTAGAATATATAAAAAACTCTCAAAACTCAATGATAAAAAAAAAATCCAATTTAAAAATGAGCAAAAGACATAGACATTTCACCAAAGAGAATATACAAATGGCAAACAAGCACATGAAAAGATGTTTAACATCATTAGCCATTAGGGAAACGCAAATTAAAACCATAATGAGGTGTCACTATACACCTATCAGAATAGCTAAAATAAAAAACAGTGATAACACCAAATCCTGGCAAGGATGTGGAGCAACTGGATCACTCATATATTGCTGGTGGGAATGTAAAATGGTACAGCCACTCTGAAATACAGTTTAGCAGTTCCTTATAAAACTAAACACAAAATTACCATAAGACCCAGTAACTGAAATTCTGGGCATTTATCCCAGGGAAATGAAAACCTACATCTGCACAAAAATTTGTACACAGATATTCTTAGCAGCTTTATTGGTAATAGCCAAATGCTGGAAAAAACCCAGATGTCCTTTAACAGGTGAATGGTTAAACAAACTGTGGTATGTCCACATCACAGAATACGACTCAGCAATAAAAAGAAAAAGAAAAAGAAAAAAAAAACCTCTTGATATACACAACTTGGATTAATCTCCAGGGAATATGCTGAGTGAAAAGAGTCAATCTCAAAAGGTTATATACACTGTATTATTCTCTCAACGCCATCAGTCATTAAAAAAACAAAAACAAAAACAAAAACCATGATTCAATTCCCACTCATAGTGACCCTATAAGACAGAGAAGTGTCTCATGGGGTTTCCAAGGCTGTAATATTTATGGAAGCCATACGTTTCTCCTTCAGAGTGGGCTGGTGGGTTCAAACTGCCCACTTTCAGTTAGCAGCTGAGTGCTTAACCACTGTGCCAGCAGAACTCTTTCACTGGTCATTAAATCCAACCAAACCTGTTGCTGTTGTGTTGATTCCGACTCATAGCGACCCTATAGGACAGAGTAGAACTACCCCCATAGGGTTTCCTAGGCTGTAATCTTTACGGAAGCAGACTGCCATATTTTTCTCCTGTGGAGACGCCGGTGGTTTCCAACAGCTGACCTTTTGGTTAGCGGCTGAGTGCTTACCTACTTACTGTGCCACCAGGGCTCCTTATCACTAGCCATTAAGGAAATGCAAATCAAACTACAATGAGACACCACTTCATACCTATTGGATGGCTAGTATCAGAAAAATGGAAAATAAGTGTTGGAAAGGGTGTAGAGAAATTGGAACCATCATCCATTGTTGGTAGAAATGCAAAGTAGTGCAGCTGCTATGCAAAACAGCTTGGAGGTTCCTCAAAAGATTAAACATAGAATTACTATATGACCTAGCAATTCCACTCCTAGGTATATGACTAAAATAAATGAAAGTAGGGAATCAAACAAATACTTGTACACCAGTGTTCATTGAAGCATTATTCACAACAGTCTAAAGGTGGAAACAACCGAAGTGTCCATCAACAGATGAATGAATAAACAAAATGTAGTATATCCATACAGTGGAATAGTATCCAGCCGTAAAGAGAAATGAAGTTCTGATATATGCTAAAATGTATAAACCTTGAAAATGTTATGCTCAGTGAAATAGACATAAAAGGATAAATATTGTATGATCCCAATTATATGAAATATCTAGAACAAACAAATGCATACAGGCTAATGTTTATTAGTGGTTACCAGGGGAAGGGTGAGATGGTGGGTTATTAAGGGGTACTGAGTTTCTGGGAGATGAAAAACACTGGAAATGGACAGTTGTAATGATTGCACAACATGGTGGCTGTAATTAATGTCTTTGAATTATATACTGAAAAATGGTTAAGATGGAAATGTTTTGCTATACAAATTTTACCAGAATAAAAATAAAAAGGTTATATAGTGTATGATTCTATTTATACAGCATTCTTAAAGTGACAAAACTTTAGAAGTGGAGGACAGATTATTGGTTGCCAGGGGTCAGGACAGCAAAGGAGGTAAAGAGGTGGGTATAGCTATGAAAGGTCGACACCTTGTAGTGATGGAACTGTTCTTTATATTGGCTGTATCAATGCCAGTATCCTGGCTAGGATACTGCACTATGGTGGTTTTGCAAGGTAAGTACTATAGATTTACCACAGGTGGAGGGGGGAAGAATACATGGACTCTTTTTGTATTATTTCTTATACCTGCATGTGAATCTACAGTTATTTCAAAACTAAAAGTTTAACTTAAAAAAAATACAGTCTGTATAGAACTGAACTCAACTAATCGTGTCATTTCCCACAATTAAGTTTGTTCCTCATTCAGGGCTCCTGGTCAACACAAACAGGGCACCACTGTCCACCCAGCCACAGCCCCTGGGATCCCCCTTGATTCTTCCCTCGACATCCCCAAACCCCCTCATTTCTAGTCCTTCAGTAAGTCTGGCCTATTCTGCCTCCCAAATCTCTCTCAAATCCACCTTCTCTCCATCCCCACAACTGTCCCCTTGGCCCAAGCCACCTCAGTTCTCAGCTGGACGACTGCAACAGTCTCCTCACTCACCTCCCTACTGCCTTCCCAGCTCCCTCCAGTCTGTTCCCAGAGCAACCAGGGTGAATTTCATAAACATACATCAGATTATGTTGCTCCCCTGCTGAAAACCCTTCCTTAGCTCCATGGCGATCTCACGATAAAATTCAGAAGCCTCATCAAATGTATGGAAGCAAGGTCTCATCTCTCACTGCTCACCCACACCAAACTTCTGTGAATCCTAATCTCTTTCCCTAGGCCTTTGCAACCGCAGTTCCCTCTGCCTGGGTCATTCCGCTCCCCTTCCCCTCCCGGTCATCTCCAGACTCCCACAGCCCCCATCCCGCTTCCTCAAGCCTAGAACGCATCCTACTGTCCTGGGAACTAATTTTTCTTTTTAATTTCTTCATTACTCAGTACTCAAGTGTTTTGTAGAAAATATTCAAATAATGAAAAAGTCCAGGGAGTGTAAAGAGAAAGTAGGCCTCATCCCATCTTGCTGTCCTCCCCAGAGGGAACAATCACTGACCCTGGCCTTCCACGTCCTGCCCCACTCACCTGCTTATTTTCTTTATAGCACTGAGCACCAGCTAAGTTATCTTTTACTATTTACCTTTTCTTTAATTCTGTAATTTCTATGATCACTAAGTGGCACAAACAGTTTGCACTCAACAACAAACCAAAAAGTTTGCGGTTCAAACCCATCCAGAAGTGCCTGAGAAGACAGGCCTGGCAACCTGCTTCTGAAAGGTCACAGCCTTGAAAACTCTATGGAACACAGTTCTACTCTGCACACATGGGGTCGCTATGAGTCTGAATCAACTCCACAGTAATGGTTTGGCTTGGGCTTTATAATTTCTATAATTGCTTGTTCTATCATTCCTCTCTCCCCTACCAGACTGTGAAGCAAAAGCTGTGCCTGGCTCAATGAAGAGTCCCTCCTCCCCCATTTCATGGTGAGAATTCTCATCCTCCAAGAAATGAAGAGATGTGACTGAGATCTCACAGGGAGTTCCTGGACTCAAAAGCTCAGCCACAAAATGCCAGTCCAGCCCACTTTTCATAGCCTAGCAGCACAGTGGTTAAGAGCTCGGCTGCTAACCAAAAGGTCAGCAGTTCGAATTCAGCAGCCGCTCCTTGGAAACCCTCTGGAGCAGTTCTACTCTGTCCTATAGGGTCACTGTATCGACTCGACGGCAACGCTTTTTTTTTTTTTTTTTCACTCTAATGATCTGTGTGCTTATCTTACCATACCGTTCAAAAAATATTGTGCCTGTATTCCCCTCAGGGTCAGGTCTGTGGCATATCCCTGAAATCGCCAAGGCTGCTCTTCCTCCCAGAGGCCCAGCAGGCACACACGCCGGCACTGTGTTTACGGCCTCCAGGGCCCACAATTCTCTGAGCCTGAGGGCCACCCCATCCCAGACTTTACAGAGCGCAAGACAATCAATCGGAGGCCAGGGTTTGCTGGTTTGGGTCTGGAGCACCGTGTCCTGGCCTAGGGCACAGGCGGCACCTATCTTTTCTGGTCTGGATTTAAAGAGGGTGCACCCCATTATGGGGTATACAGTTGGCACTCTACAGAAGTTAGTCGAGGTGAGGGCGCCCGGTCAGATGATCCGGCCATCAACCTCCTGCCCCGCAACTGCTCCTGCACCACCACCCAGCTCTGCGCAGCTCTTCCGGGTCCCCAGCCCCTGGGAGAGGCCTTCAACGACTCGGTTGTTTCAAGCCCGGCCTGCCCCCCTCCCACTCCCACCCCTCGGCTGTTCCCTCCAGAAATCCCCCCTCCCGTGCCGGGCCGAGGCCCTCGGGCTGCGGCTGTTCCGGTCCCGGTGCCCCCCGCCGCGCCTCGGCTCCCAGGGCTGTTCCAGCCCTGTCCCGCCTCCGCCCCAGAACTGCTCTGGTTCTGTCGCCCCCGCTCCCCCGCCGGCCGCTGCTCC